ATATCTTCAGCTGGAAAAAGAAGCATCACTGTCTTATTTACAGTTGCACTGGCCACCTTGTACCTACCTATAAAAATACTATCCACTTTTTATTTATTTTTAATTTTTTTAACAATGGTAAAACTGTTGAGTGGCCCATTATCTGAATATATCGCTAATTGTCTTTTGGTTAAAAGACAATTACTAATTCCATTTTAAAGTTTTACCATCAATTTAATACATTGTAAACTGTGCTTACTCAACCACTGTCGTATACCCCAGTTATGCTGACATGGCAGAATATATACACGTCAGTGTAAAATCAGAGTATGAAAGCCGTACACAGTTTGATTCTGTTACAATGCTAGAATATGTGTATGTGAGCTGATCTATGGTTTCCCTTTAAAAAATGTGATTTGTTTGATGCATTGATCTCAACTTTTTCTAACTGAGTAAATACTAGTGAAGTTCTATGAAATATACTTTGTGTTTATCCAATACAGAAAGACCATTTAGATCACAGGTGGACTGTTATATGATATAAGAGATGCTGTGAAAATTGTCCTCATGATATGAATAATCAAAGCATAGAAAAGTGAAATAGAGCACACTCTATAAATATAGTCGCTGTGTCCCAGTTCAGAGGCTGAACCCTGCAAAGTCCTAATTTCTAGGACGGATGTGTCCTAATGGTCCAACAAGGGCTGTCCCATTTCAAATGTCCCACAAAATGTGACTGCCTTGGCTTTGGAGGACACACCTGGTTTACCATTCTCAATACCCCACAATTAAATGTGCACCAATCCTTTTTGAACCTGATTGGCCAGGTGATCCTCGCCGACTCGTAAAGCTGGGAAATGTGTATGTAATCATATCATACCTTAACTAAACCAGTGGAAAACTCACTGCAAGGTATAAATAATGGAAGCTTGCAATGAACACCACTGTTTGCCGTCATATTCAGCCTGGACATGTTACAGAGGGTTAGAAATGGAGGTCAGTTTGATATTTGCACTATTAACCTAGTCTAACCTGCCAGTTCAGCCTTTACATGTTGAGGTAATATATCAAAATCAAACTGTAAAGTCGGATATTGTGAAACCTGTCTTTAACAATTGCTATTCAAATGGCATAGGCTGTCTGGGAGTAACTGCTTGGTGAGAAACTAATGAGTTGACGAGGAGCACCTGAACACAGCATTAGTTTTGGTCTTTGTTAATCTAGTTTCATTTGGCAGGTTCAGCCTGGACTTCAGTTCCTCTGAAGGCTAAACATCCAGCCCCTGAGTTTGGACACAGCTAGTAATTGCCTTAAAGTTGATTAGAGAACATGATAGACATAAGATGATGAAGCCTTCAAACTGCATATCAAAAAACTGTGTTGCCACAATGACACCCTTAACAACAAAAAAAGAGTTTAAACAAAACTTTACACACCATTTACAACACTCTTGATAACATTTGTTTAAAATACATTGAACCCCAAAACAAAAGTAGATGCACAAAATAAATATAACTGTTACTATAAGGCCGATTTACTGGATGAGCAGTCAGTATAGAGGGAGTTATTGTGCTCCTTTAAATAAGTACGGTACCTGTGAGGCTTACCGTTACACAGAACATCATATATTTTTACATGAAACTATGACTCATGTTAACATTTGACCACTGTTCCTTCCCAGATTGCTTTAGTCTTTGTTCGTATTCATTCTACACATAGCTGCTTTTCGTTTTTCACTGCTTCAGCTGCAGAACAGTGTTTGCTACATACAATTCTATAGTCACCTCTGAGGAGAAGGAAAGAATGGCAATCAACTTTGGTCTCCTCTGCCAGTTACACTGCACTTGCACCTTCTCCCCTGCTAGCTTTTGTAACATTGATGCATTGGTCGGGTAACATTTCTGGAATGCTAATACCGTAGTTTTAACCCCACTGCAGGATTACAACCTATTGCCTGTCGTTTAGGGTTTCTCAGCTGGTGCACTGGGTAAGATGTTGGGTAACATGATTTCCCCATAGAACAACAAGGGAAAGTGGATGAATTAGCATTCAAAAAGCTAAGAGCCCCTAGTGGTGCTTGCTGGCTGAAAGCCAGCAGGTTTTCTCCTCCAGAAGATTGGCTTTATTTTTCCATAGAGATCCATTACGAAGCCTTTGGGTGACTCTCCACTGCTGTCATTGCACTTAAACACACAGCCATACAGTAGTCTACAAGCACTACAACTAATATCTTATGGGTGATGGTAAAAATTGACTTACATAACTAACTTTTAACTCTAAAAACAGAGAGGACACTCATTGCACATATTTACACAAAGAAAGTATAAACTGAAACTAGTAAATCTGAAATCAGGAGAACAATAAAGATCTCAGAAAGTGTGAGAGGGTAGATCTAGCACAGCTAAATCAGGTTAGTAACAGAGCAACATCAATTAACTTATAAAATTAACATTTGAGTTGAGCTGTACATCTCAGCAGTACATCTGCTGTGGTATCATGGCACTAATCTGTCTTCCATTATACTTTTATTTCAGTAGTTTTGACATCCCTTTATGATGTAGCCACTTGTGCCTCAGCTGGAGCTCAGCTGGATGATTATTATTCCCCATAAAACCTGAGAGGGGGAGAATACACTGTGCCAGCGCAACATCTGTGTTTTGGACACTAAATCATCAACAGTGCTCGTCTGAATCTTCCCTTTGCCTGGTATTTTCAACGTAGAGGCACAAGGTTGTGTAACAGTGGTGTGTATTGGTATGTCTGCAGTGAGACATGCACAGGCATTAGTCGGTCTCCAAATTTTATGATATTATCACCTATTACTCAGGGTATGTTTAGATTAATATTGCAACATGTCTTTATATCATCAAACATTTTCGGAAATTCAAATAAACGGTTTATAGATAGAAATGTGTGGTGTTTTTTTGGATTTTTGGTCTCTGCTCCTTCAATCTACTCTTTTCATCTGTCTGTGAGTCTCCAAACTTTATGAAAGCTAAATCGCTGGAGTACTCCATTAATCCAGTGAATTAAATACCTAAAGATTCAAGGTATTTCATCACATTGATGCAAAAATCCTGTAAATCAAATACCGTTAGTACTGCCTGCGATAGTGTAGAAAGACAAGCCATATCAAAGGGATAGCTACCTATGTATAATTGGTACTAAAAAATTACTTACTTGTTTTGCCTGCATACATTGGCCAACTTTACCTTTTACTTATTCTTAGAGAAAGATATTCTTTAGAGAGTTGGGATTTTGCTTTGTTAGTAAAATGTCTTATGAAACAAATAATATAAAGCAGTGGAAATGATCACTGAATATTATAGTTGCAACATAATGAAAAAATATGAATGAATTACCACTTTGAGCACTTTGAACAGCAAAGTCATTTGGTTGTGTCAGTGCTATTAAACGATCAACCCCAGCCTAAATTCGGCTTCAAAGTCATTTGACGACAGATGCTAGTGGTCTCCATCAGAGTTTAATGTGGCATCTGCCAGTAGTGTATGAGTACAGGAAGCTAGCCATCAGTAGCTTCAGTGATAACTTGTAATGTCTCACAGTTAATGTCAAACACCAATAAAAAATAAAGTTTCCCATTTTCTTACAGTGTTCCATGGTAAACATGTGGAGGAGGTCTCCATAAACAGTCTCCCCTCCTGAACCACCTGAACCCTATAAGACAGAGCAAGGCCCTCTATTCTTGACTGTGTGGTCAAAGTCAAATTTCTTGTTTTTATGACATAAAATAGTACAAACACAGAGAGGGTTCAAAAAAACTTTTACCTTTTTCCAGACACAGCTTGTTCCACAGATCCTTTTTCTGGGATTGTCTCTGTCTGGTAATGACATGTAATTGTTATTATTTACAGCTCTGCACAGTTAGCCTCTTTGCCATCTCCACAATACTCTTTCATGGCTGGGTATCTGTGCTGTTGGCATAAGAATAGGTGTAAGACAAGGTGACAAAGTAAACAGATCCCTGATGTCTAAAAAGAAAAAGACAAAACAAACAAACAAACAAACACTATATTCTGATCCAGATTCTAAAATCTTTTTCCCTCATGTTCGGTTTATGTGCTCTTCATCATCCTTACGCTCTTTTCTCCGTCAAAATATTTGTCCATTCCCAAACACCAGTTCCATTCATCCATTATTCCTTGTATTGCAGTTACCACTGGTTATGTCAGTCACAATGCTGCTTACAATGATCTTATGAAGGTGATATTGAAGTGGATGCTTGCTGGCTCTTCAGACTGCAGTGGTGTGGATGAAAGAGGGACAAGAGGGTACACCGACGTGGGAAGTTAAGGGTTTTCTTCTGAGCGGTCAACCTTTTAAATCCCACCCTGGCCATGTCAATAATCTGTTGAATGCTTTCCACCAGGTGCTGGGTGATATCACAGCTTCCCATAAAACAGTGGTGACATTTACTTTCCTGCTGACCCCTTTCTCTGCGCTGCACCACTGACTGCCATTATTGGCACACTCTGTCTTCCAGCACAAGGTCAATTGAGCTTTCCCGCCAGAATATATTTCAAGTGGCAGCAGTGTGTATTTACTTATGGATTAATGTATGGTTATTATTAGTGTGTCAAGCCTGCAGGAATGTTAACATGTTTTAGGTATGATATGAGCTGTGTGTGATAAATGTTTGAATTCCATTAATGGTGCAGCAACATGTAAAAGTCAAAGAAGCGTGTGGGCACAGCATCCAAGCCACATCTGGGCTCTTCAGCATGACTGCAGGTTTGCTGGTGAGTCACGACACAACTCCATGTGCATGTGTCATTAGACAGACTCCACACAGGCAATGTGTGCATACTTCAATGTGTACAGCTAGCTAGGTGGAAAATGTGCTAAAAGGACACGATGAACTGTAATTCATGGGTGGATAAATAAAAACATGTAAGGTCATGGCGATAATCCTCTCTTTGGGCTAAACTCAGTTCATTTCTCCTTTTTCTCTTATTAAACATCTCATTTCAGTCTTTCACTGTGTTTTTTTTTTTTTTTAGCTTTCTGATACTAAAGATGGCAGGACACCGTGCTCCAGAACAGAACAAAACTCGAACAGATGTTTCTACTTGCTTTTCATAGCCAAGGACTGAGCTAAAAAAGATGAATGTCAAGTGAGGTGAGAAGTTATTGTTGTCCTGTCAAGAAAAGGCAGAACCTCAGAGTCAGAATAAAAGAGCTGCAATCAGACATAACAGAGAGACGTGTTCAGTGAGGGTACAAGCAGAACCCAGGTTGAGGAGTACTGCATGGAAACGAGAGGCCATTAATCTCCACCCTTATCCCTCTATTCATCCCTCCACTGTGCTACAGGTGGGTCACTACACTACAGTGTTCCTCTGTCTGTATGGAGGGGGTGGCAACACATTGCCAGCTTTCATAGCAGCCTCGGACAAGTACTCCTGGTTTTCGGCCACAGCAGGGCGAATGCGTCCATTCTGCCGGTAGAAGAAGCGTGTGCTGCAGTCCTGCAGGTACTCAGGGTTGTGCAGTGAGGACTTCGGGGGTAGACTGTGCTGCCAGTATTCAGGATTGTCAAAAGTCGCCTTCTTGCCTTTCTTATCAAACATGATGGTGCTGCTGGTGATGCCTGAGTGTAGAGCGTGTCCTGAATGCCCCGGATGCAGGGTGTGTGATGGATACGATGGGTGGGGGATGTGGCCAGGGGGTACCACATATCCAGAAGAGGAGACTGTGTGGCTTGATGTTGATGGGTTGACTGTCTGCGATACTGATTGGGCAGCAGAGGACCCCGGCCCAGAGACGGAGACTGCGCCAGCCAATCCGTTCTTGTCCCCAGGGTTAAGGAAGGTATTCAGGTACAGTGGCTCGTTGACATACTCATCGTCCCCGTGGACGGACTGGTTCTTGGGTGCAGCAGCGGCTCCAGCCATGTGCAGGGTGTGGCAACTCGCTCCATCAATCACTGCGTGGGCGTCACCGTTCCTACGACGTGTGACAAAGGGGTTTTCCTCTACTGGGTTGAGATAGTCTGGAAACAAAAAAGGGGATGATGAGATCAGATCTTTTCATCTCTTTTGAAGCTGCAGCTATTGTATCAACTAAAAAGTCATATGCTGTAACACTAAATTAATGCTTACGTATGGCCTTTGGGTTAGCATATCATATATCAATGTGTGATATTGTATTCTATTCCGTTACCCTCTAGCCAAACATCTGCTAACTTAATGGACAAATTCAGGAGTACTCAAATCCCAATAACCTGAGTTGTTCTTGTCTCTCATGGCAGTCATGTAGCTATCCTGGTCCTTGTCACCTTTTGCTCCTCGTTCCGCTAAAAGACCGGTTGGATCGGCACTGTAACGCTGTCCAGTACTATCCTCCCTTCCACCTTGGTAAGCAAAAAGGCAGGAAGAAAGCAAATATGATACTTTACAAATCCACAGATTACAGATTGGTGGCATCTACTATATCTGCGTAATCCTTTTAAAGATAGGGTAGGTAATGTATTTCAGAAACATTTTTTATGTTTGTTGAAATTCTCATTACACCCTGACAACAACCAATAAATCAAATGCTCTGAATTAAAAAAAAAAACTGGTATCTGTAGCTGTGTCAGGCCTGTAATAAGCCCAGCCAATCATTTCATTTGGACCAAATGAAATGATTGGAAGGTGGGAGGCCTGAAGGAAGGGGGTGGGACTTTTTTGGTTGAATACTACTATTAAATCTGTCTGTCTCATGATACTTTCTCCAATGTTACCTAACCTTGCTTTAATGCAAGTCATTCTTCACCACTAAACAAGCAACATGCATTTTCAACCTAATGTATTGTCGTGTGCTGTTATCTATAATGTCCTGTGATTAAACTCTCTGGCGTGGCTGTGGCTAATGTCATCATTATGGGGATTAGGGGTTTTAGTGACCTGAGATGCCTTTTATTTTCATTTTTCACTTACATCTTACCACTATTCTCCAAGGAATGCACAGTAGGTAGATACACATACATTTATAAAGCTTACCTAAGGCTTTATTCCTCCTTTTTCTACCCAAACAAATCTGCAAAGGAGGCATAAATGGGCCTGAAAAATCTTGCTCTGGGGCTCAACAGAACTACATGCTGCCACTGCACCTTGTTCTCTCCTGTTGCCTGTGGTTTTGCCAGACAGATGTTAGATATGAGCTTAGCTTTCCATTCTTGTCTTGCAAAATATCTAATGGTGAATGATCCACTGGCACAGTACAATACAAATGAGGAAACACAGATAGGGTAAAGTGAAATAAGGGCAAAAGCCTGTTTGCTCACTTAAAGGTGATTTTCATTGTAGAGTTATTATACAAATGATGGTTTATGCATTAAGGTTGTAATTGGTAGATTTGTAAATGGTGAATTCAACATTATCACCCTATATTTGAGTTTATTCCTGGAAGTGCAGAAAAGGCTTATTGTGTACAAAAAGACAAGGCCATACAACAACTTGTAAATGGATAATACAATTTACCGAAACTATTACATACCAAATAACTGAAACACTGAGATTAAAGGTCTATCCACTCAACCATAGAATGTGTTAGAATCATATAAATATTCTTTGATTCTTTTTTAATTTATGGAGTTTGTTGTAATAAGTAAATAAAACAACCTGAAAAGTTAAAGCAGTACTATGTGATCCACAATATATTTTAGATTTTCTATTGATTAAGGCTGTAAGAATAGATTTCAACATACAAACTTCAGTCAAATGTCTAAAATGCACAATTCATTCAAATTAACTGTCAATTTAAATGTGTGGAAAAACATTGGTAACAGGTAATTTAAGTAATGCCTTTGTTTTACAGACTGTTACAATATCCATCATTCTCACACTGTCTTCTGCTCACCGGCTGGTTTGATGTAACACACACAGTACAGAGATTACTATTCTCCTCAGTTTCCACAACATTCAGATAACACTTTGCTTTACCTTGTCCTGCAGTGAGAGCTGAGCCAGCCCCAAGGGTACTTGACCTTGGGGAGGCCTGCTTCCTCAGGGTGCCATTGCAGCGAGGGTCATCCTGGTTGCCACGGCCAAATCCACCACCAATCTGCCCCACTGAGGCCAGGTCTTGTGGAGGGAGGCAGCCCCCAGACACAGGTGGAACAGAGACCACTCTGGGGAGGGTGGCCAGCATATTCTCCATGCTGAAACTAGGATCCTGGTAGCCAAACTGGTTCTGTGTAGAAGGAGAGGAGGAAGAGGGTAATGAAAGGACAGAGGGGCGGGGATGTTGGACACAATTAAAATTGACCAAGCCAAAGCAAATCCCCTGGGACAAATACAAGTCTTCTAAGGATGATTAAAGAAGTTCAACTTTTCACAAAGTGGGTAAATAATTGTGTGCTGTTCCATCTTTGGTCTATAATAAATAATAAAAATAAAATAACCAGTAGCATACAAAAATATTATGAATTTTAAAATGTATTTGTGCAAGAAGTCCAAAAAATGGCCAATTCAAGTTCTTTGTACCGTTGTTCATCTGTATAATTTAAATGTGACAGGCAGGGGAGACAAACAGCAGTGCCATACAATGATATGGCAGCATGACTGCCAATGACAATTTAATTAAAAGGATTTTAATTAAAAGGCTCCATGCAGAAAAGTCTTAAAGTAGCCATATCAGTCCTGCCCTGCTGTGTGCATTTGTGTCTACGTTCATAACAAAAAAGGGCTTTTAAGAACCTCACTGGGTGCTTTATTCTGATTTATCTTTTTCTCCCATGTATCCAGCAAGAGGTTTGTTTTCTGTTTTACATCCCCTCATTTACGTTCCCTTGCACAGTGTCTGAGAAGTCTGTAATCATACTAATAAGACAGAAAATCTTTTTTCCTGTTGCACTTATTGCAGTTTTCATCCTCATTTATTTATCATTTTCTCCAATTATTCATGAAGTTTGGCATCCTGTGTACCACAAGAAAGTGGTTCCTCTAGCCTGTACCAAGAGTCAGACTCAAATAGCTTTTTATTGGAAATTAGAGATGGGTCAGTCCCTGATGGGGGAAATATTGCCTATTTTTAGTTTTTTCAGTTTTTTTGGCAGTAAATTATCAAATTTAATAAGATACCACAAAGTATCAGCACATAATGTCAATCTAAAGTTTGTCTACAATGTGTGTCCTGGTCAAACCTTGGTTATATGCCATGCTAGTAAGAGAGATTTCAAAAGGCCCAAACCTATCAATAACTTTAAAGTGATTTTTAAAGTGGCATGCTCATTTTCTGCGTGTACTGAATCATTCTTTTTCATTGTCTGTCTACCACTGTTGGATTCTTCCTTACTTTCTGGTGCAGTTGTCTGTACTTTAGGCCTGGAGGTACTAGTTGCTCCAGAGTTCACCCTGTTTTTCCTACCCTCGTAACTACATCTATTAACTCACCCTCTCTCAGTCCTCATTTACACCTCCTCCTCCCTCTCAGTATTATAACAGAAAATACCACCACTAACCTGAACACAAAAGCAAAATGTCTTTAAAAAATGTCTGAAGTCATTAAAGTCACATAATTTTTTAAATCTTGGCCTGAAAGCCCATCATGGGCATTGTGGAAATAGGGTGAACTATGGGAAAAACACAAGTGTCCCCTTCAAATGTTTCTCTGTAAAAAAGCAGAAGGAGCTTGTGGCTATGCCCAATGCCTTGGTCACTATTAAACATACAATTATTGCAAAATTGTTAGTTAGGTGTGAGGATGCATATTAATGATGTGTGTATGTGTGTGAGAGTAAATTTGGTGAAAGCTCTTTCAGCTGTGCTGTACAATTGTGCAAGTGAAGATTATATTTATGTGTAAATACTGCATTTTGCTGGCTGCAATAATTGAGTTCATTACCATCTTCTACATGATTTATGTAACTGTATGTCACTGTATCTAATCAAATTAATTTAGTATCCACCCCAATAAGAAAGTCCAAAAACTGTGGAGGATATATTAACATAACTATAACAAATATTATGCAAAAAAATAATCTGTCACCCTCTGAAAAACACCAAACAGAGTAGGAAAAGGACTCATGTCTGTCATTGGCATTCAAAAGACATTTTTACCCTGACACAAACACAGGGGGATATTGGAATACCAAATGGCTGAGTTGCCTGGCTGTGTGACTGGTTTTGCGATAGATTTAAGTCCAAAGATAGACAATGAACATTTGAACAGTTGAAGAACTGAGGGAATTTGGCTGAAAACCCCTATTTTGAGGAAGGCAATTACCATAGTTTCACAATGGAAAAAGACCAAGAAAAGACAGTGAAGGAGAGAGCAACAGGGAGATGAAAGCGAAACTGAGAAAACTGTGTGAGTTCTGTTTTAAGATCTTAATATTTTGTGCTTGAACAGGAGAGTCCTGCAGTACATGCTGAGAAAACTCATTCCCACATCACTTTAGAGACCATCTAAATGATTTGAGTGACTACTTTGACTTCATATTATCTCCTTTTCCATCATGGTTCAATCACTCTGCTGCTACACTCAAAAATATATGGTAATATGACGTTACTGAATTGTATTACGCTTGACGCTTTTTCACCTGACAGTCATGCCAATGAAGCACACTGAAGTGAGTTAGTAAGTTAAACTAAATTCCAATTTACTCTACAATAAACCAGCAACATACAAGTAATAAATACATAACATCCATAGAATGTAGGGCTTCCTTTTGTTCAAGTCTGCATACTTCCAAGTAGCCTTTGTGCAGTATACAGTAGGAGAAACCAGTATGTCTGTGTGTATAGATTCACCATACAATCTGATTATACATTTAATTACAATTATGGAAGATACATGCAGAATGTTTTTTTCTGGACTGCGGAGATGGTCAAGGAGATTGAATGTTCCTTCCTGACTGACTGACAGAAGAGTTGAAATGCACATGTGTGACAGCTGGGCTTCTCTCCCAAAACATGAGCAATATAAAAGTAACATGGAAGTTTTGGGCCAACAAGTAAACATAACTAACCACTATATTTTCATCATTTCTTTTAGCCTATGTGTTAGGAGCAATACCATCACAAAACAGACAGTAAGGGTCATGTGAGTTTATTTACACTCAAGTTTCTGCAAACTGATTCAATGTCCTGGGGAACTTCACTTGCCTAGTTTATTAAAAGAGGCAAAAGAGTTACGATAGTATTTTCATACTTTTTACGTTTGGATCTCCTATAATCACACTTACTGCAATGAATGCTTTTATTTAGAAAATATTCTGACAGGATCTTCTGAGGTTCAGGAACATACATCATTAAAACAATTTAGCTTATCACTGATGTTGGAAAACTAAGCCAAAGTAGTACTTGCATCAATAAACAGATAAACTTTTGACCACTTTAAAAATGCAGAAGCAAACAATACACTTATCTGTTCTTCTTAATCAAAACATTTGCCACCACCGTAGTATGGATATTCAGTTAAAGTACAAGAAATAAAGAAAGAAAGATTCTTCTTAAGCATAATGCCTTGCTCTGCACAAATAGAGGTTATAGCTTATAGTCTGTTTGTTAAGAATAATTTCTATAAAAACCTCTTACTGGTTGGACAATACAGGGAAGGAAGTGTAATCATTACTGGGGAGAAAATTTGCATTTATAAAGCAATCTTGCTCTATTATAGAATTCATAGCTGCCACAGTCATAACACAAAACATAATAATCTGTAATGAATTACAACGTAAACTATGCAATTAAATAAACCACTTTAGCCAGTTTTAGTGAAGGAGACTTGCTGTCCTTTCAGAGAACTCTTGGACCCACTATTTCCCTTTGGATAGCTGTCCAGGAATTGTAGCTTCTGTAAATGTGCCCAGTTTTGTGTGGAGGCTGCTGGATCTCGACAAAGGTGCAATGAACTGAAAACTTGATCTGAAATAATGTTGGGTTAAATGGCTGGTATACAGACAACCCATGCGACAGAGGTAATTTGCACCACCTGTTCCAACGATTACTGCTTGCTTTATGGATACTTTGCATTTTATCTGAATTCTCCAATAAATAGAAGTCAAAGCAAACAAAAACAACGCTTAAAGCTATAGATTGTGTCACTTACTAAGTGGCTGTATCTAAAACACTTAGACTGTCCACCATCACAACCACTATGGTAGGAATACTAATGAAATCACATGTGATTTTCAACACGTGACTGTGGATTTTGTCCCATCACTTTAATTGAAAGCACATTAGGAAGTGATTTTCTACTGGCCGGTATGAAAGGGAGGAATTATTACAGCAAGCAAACATAAAAGCCCTTATGTACACTGTACATAAAGGCTCCTGACTGTTGTTATAAGAGAGACTTGAAATATTGTGAATCTATTCTTTGAGATATTTGGACAGAAATACCTTGTTGGTGTCCATGTGTGTGCGGGGAGTATATGCCAGTGGTGGAATGTTGAAGGAGTGGGGCACCAGGTACTCTTCAGCATCCATCAGGTCCTCCAGCTCCTCCTCGTCCAGGAGGCTCTGGAAGAACTTGCTGTCGTTTGGACTAGGTAGCTTCATACGGTCATCACCCTGAGAAAAGTTGTGTGTGGGTATACAACATGTGTGTTCAGTAATTTGTAATATTAATTAATGATAGAAAACATAATGTGACTAATCAGTTTTTTAATTGTGTCACATTTAAGGCCCTTTCCATTGTAATTGGCGACATTTACCATTTTTCACTCAAGTTATTTTAGAAATATCAGAATAATAAGCAAGATGGTAACTATGACTTGAAAAGAGAAATAAATGCTTTGGGATTTCTTTTAAAAGCATCATATAAATATTTGTGTCATGACTTCTGCTAATGTTGTAGGCTTAGCTATGTTTGTTGACTAATTTAAGACCTAGTGGGTATAACACAAATAATGTAGTGAGATGGCAGGGTATTTTCTCAAAAAGAAATAAGCGATGTAAAATGTCATTTGTAATGGATATTAATGTCATCAATTACCTAAACCCTGAATAAATTTGCACAATTTTAGAAAATGACACAAAAACAAGCAGAACGGATGAACAGAAACAACCATAGTCATGTACATATGTCATCAAGTTTTACCCACCTGGATGACCAGGTATCTCTGGGGATCACGAGCCATCCGAGTGAACTCTGCAGCCAGCTCCTTGAACTTGGGCCGACTGTCTGCATCAATCATCCAGCCTAAAATATGTGCCTGTTAGTGTCTGACCAGTATGAGGTTCCGAATACAAACATACCATATTATGTATATGCAGTATATAATAATGTGCACGGTTTCCCAAAGTATATTATTCTCAGCAGTAAGCAAAAACCTCATCTACACCCATCAACATCAATTTATTTCACGACTCTCTGTGAACTTAACTGCATCTAAGTGGGAGGAAAGGTGCAGTATGTACAGTACATGTCAGTGGTGATCAAGCAGGGCATTTCTGTATTCTTCACACTTTGGTGTCAAAGGTTCTGCCTACGCAGACTATGTAAAATATGTATGCCATGTTTTCTGTGCTATTTGCATAAAAGTATTAATAATAATTTGACTTCGATATAAATCCTTTGAGCCATACTGTAGATAACATATAATTTTCATTTTAAGTACAAGTGCATGTGAAGTGAAAACTGTGTAAAAGGCTACAACATCATCTCTACCTTCTATATAAGATCATTACTCCGCCTAATTCCACCCAACCCACCCACTCATTCCAGCTGTGCCATGTGTAATGTTGCAAGCATGTGAACACTAAATTACTAAAAGTCAAGCCATGTTTACTTCCACTGATTTACGAAAGAATCAAGCAACATGAATAACCTATAACAACCTGTCATTTTGTCATCATGATGAAAAAAACACAGGTAATAAATAAACACTTCCATTTTCCATTTTAACAAGTTTCCATTATATAAAACATTCTTGTTTGTTCCATAATGAACAATTACAGAATTTTTAATTAAGTTCTCTTTATTGTAATCACTTTTTCCAATCTAAAGATAAATACTGTTTTATCACTAGAATGGCCATATGGAGTGGTGTGCTCTTCTGCCAGTTTCTCTGTGAGCACGAGTACGATGCCAAAGCAATCATGTGGTCTGGCCCTGAGCAGAGCCCGTTTAGGTATCCAGGGAAATAAGAGATAGAGATTGAAAGACAGAGAGATGTGGCTTTACAAACAAGCACAAACATACAGATACAAGAGATCTCCTGTGTAAAAACGATCATCTTTTATCTTGGTGCCTAGTTTCATGGCAATAAAGCCTGGAGTAGTGAAGGAAGTGCATTTCCACCACATGTGCACAGTGCACCATGTGTCTGTGTATTTGGGTGTATGATTTCTGCATGTGTAGTGGTGCAAAAAGAAAAAAAAGGCAGCATATACAAGGCAGGTGACAGTGACCTCACCCCGCTGTGTGTGCGTGTGTCTGCTTGCCAGGTTGGCGCAGGTTCAGGGTGTCAGTAAGAGCCAAGGTGACAGTGAGGGCCAGAGGCTGCAGCTTGGACACTAGAGGACAAGGCCGCGGTGGCGCTGGCACCAAGTCTTTGTCCTGGCAGCAGTGGCCAGAGGTTACAACGCCACCTGTGACCCCATTGCGTGACGGCATGACAGCAGTCACCCACCAATAAGGCCAACATGTTGGTGGTTGGGGTCAAACCCAGCTCAGAAAAATGTGCTCGTAACTCATCTTCTACCATAACTTCTCCAAAACTTTGTTATTTTTGAAGGGTTTCTCACTATTATTGCCATCAGACAGAATTTTCAGTGGCATGCATACTATAACACAATCAGCTGAAAAGATAAACTAAAAAATAGCAGAGTTGAACATTAGAATTGTACTATTTTGGCTTTAAAAACAGCCTGTTTCTTTTGTAAATCACTCAATAAAAGTGTAATTATTTTTTCCTGCTTTAACTAAAAAACCTGTTGTTCCTCTCTTCACTCTTAAAAGCCATTGCCTATTCTACTGTTTAAAATACAGTGGATGTACACAAGCTGGGAATCATGTACACTATACTCCAATAACATATAGAAGCTCTGTTCAGTAGATGTTTTTGTAGCTTATAAAGTAAAATATTTGTTGAGTCTGTCAGAAAGATGTTAATGATAATCTTAGAGGCTGTGGTTTGTGGTGGTGTTGTTTCTGGTATTTTGCCCACGCTGAGGATCTACTTACATTTCACCATGACCATGTAGACGTCTATAGTGCAGATGGGAGGCTGAGGAAGACGCTCTCCTTTCTCTAGCAGGTCTGGGATATCTCTGGTGGAAATCCCATCGTATGGCTTCCCTCCAAATGTCATCACCTCCCAGATGGTTACCCCTTAAAAAGAAGAAGAGGGAAGGAGGAAGAGAGAAAAAAGAAAAACAGAGGAGATGACGTAAAAATAAGAAAAAGAAACAGGAGAAGTTGGGAAAGTACAGCCGAAAGAGAAAAGATGTTCATGGAGAAAAGAATACGTAGAGAAAAGACAAGTACAAATGTGATGAGAGGAAATGAGAGTTAAGAAAGTTAAGAAGAGAGTAAAGAAGATTAAAGAGTTGAGAGGGGGTATACAGCAAGAGCAGAGAAGAGAAAAGTAAAGAAATGGAAAGAGAAAGAAAAAAGAAGAAAGAGGAAAAGCAGAGATGTGAGAGATCAGAGGGAATAGGATGAAGAGACAGGACATAATACAAGTAGAGGAAAAAAGGAAGCAAAAAAACAAAGGGCAAAGAAGAGAGGACAAGATAAGAGGACAAGCCAACAGAGAACCGAAGATGTGTCGAAAAGAGGAACTAATCAGAGTCTTGAAAGTCACCAGTCAATCTGAACTTTCAGCACTCTTGAGCCTTAATCATGTTAGTGTTAATGAACTAATGAGTGCTAAGCAGAGTTAATGCACACTATAAGATGGAAGTATAATAGCCCCCGGTCACATAGGAACACTGGGGACATGGAGGCACTAAGCCATATTGATACTTTTAATCAAACACCGATTATTCTCTTTGATATGACCCATCTGGCTTTTTTTTTGAAAATCAGTTTTTAACTGACTTTAAGAGTCATTGGTAGACTTCTTATACATCTTACAAGACTGAAGGTTAACAGGGATTGGTCTCTAGATTTAAATCTTGGTGATACACTGATGGCTGCAAAGACTGATTTTAATATTATACATGTTGAAGGAGTAGATTACTCAGTTTGCATTTTTACAGTGATTGTGATTGCTACATGGTTAAGCAGGTTAGTGGATATCAACACACTTCTCTTGTGTCAGTACTGCTACGGTGGTAAAACAGCTGCCTTACATCCATATATTGCCTGCCCGGCTGGCAAGCGGTCTGGATCTTCCACGCAATGCACACTTTATGCCTTTACTACATTAACTTGCATATTACAGCATCTGATATCTTCTTTTTAATGTCTTTTCCTTGTCTCTGCCTACATCTTACTATTCTGTTTGTTTTAGCAGTATACAGTGCAACCATTGTACTTCTCTGCTTGGACAAGTGCAGACGCTGTCACTCAGTGGACTCAGTGTTTGGCTAATCTCAGTGAAGGCTCTCCTCTGACCCCACAGTGGTGGAATGAACTCCACACTGAAGTCAGGACAGCAGAGTCACCGCTCATCTTCTGCCGCAGGCTGAAAAACCACCTTTTAAGGCTACAGTGCATGTACACATACCACTTACTATTTACTTTAAAAAATACTTCCATTTATTTATAGAAAACACTTAAACGAGTGTTGACAAAAGTTCTTTACAGAGAAAATTTAAATACAATTGATTAATTCAAATGACTAAATAGGTAGCTAACTAACAGATATAAACTTAAAGCAACCATATAGTTGTATTAATAATTAAATGCAGTTGTAAAAAAGGGGTCTTAAGCATAGACTAAATTAAAAAAAGACAGGAATAAATAGTGGGGATAGACGAGGAAGACATGATAGTGAGGGGTAAACTGTTCCAGTCTGGATGCAGCAATGTCACCTGTGGACTGAGAGTACTAAGAGAGAGGACTCAGGGCCCGTGTCCACCAAAGCATTTTTTTCTGACGCCAGCATCTATTTTCAATTCATTGCAATGGGAGCACCGCGTTTTTCCAAGCTGGTAAAAACGGCAGGAGCGTGACGACACAATGTACCTACTCGCCGAGGTGTTTCCTCGCCCGCAAAATCTCATGAACCCGCGTACGGACAGTCTGTACTCTCATGTTTCAGTCTTCTCTTCATGCAGAGCAAAGGCCAGAGCAAGTAGGCCTAGATACTTTGTGGTGACATTTGTACATTCACTAAAATTAGCCTAAGTAGGCTACCGTACTTGCAGCACATCACCTCCACGGAAATTATGTATCATAGCAACCACAGCGTCTCGGAAAAAAACACTGCGCCTCCAAAACACACCCTACCGCTCCCAGCTAGGCGTTTTCAGAAGAGCAGGTGGCTTTTCAGCTGGTAAAAAACGCATTGGTGGACACAGGCCCAAAGGTGGTGCCGGCCACTTTATGTGTTTCAAAAAACACATAGAAGAATGTTAAAATCAAGTCCATATTTCATGGCTAACCAGTAAAGGGAGGTTAACACAGGAGAGTTCTACCAGCAAAACTCTCTGCATTTTGAAATAGCTGCGATATGCATGACTGAGTTCCACATGAAGAGATAAAAGCATGCAAGATCTTCACATCTCCAAAATAGAGAAAAGGTTTCATTTTCGCTGATGACCCAATGTAGAAAATCTACTTATAACAATGGGATTATGTTAAAGCAGAATGAAACATGGCACCCATATTTCTTATACAGTGTGCTGTATGTATGGATGTTTGACAACAGAGGTCCAAAACAGAAAGAAAAATATTGACCATCCAGCATTTGGCCACTTTAACACGTCCTTCAGCAACGAATGTGCTTTAATGTGATTTTAAAAGACAATCAATGAAGAAATACATTTGGTCTGCCTGATATCTAAACAAATTATGGCCCTATTGGTTTTGTCCACATCATGCAAGTTTTCTCAAAGGCTATTTTGAAGCTTACCGTAACTCCAAACGTCACTCTGATGTGTAAACTTCCTGTAATGGATACACTCCAGGGCCATCCATTTGATAGGCATCTGCCAGGTAGAAGCATAGCACATCAGTGCGATATACATGAAACATTGACCATAAAAAATAACTGACAACAATCTCTTTCTTGGTTGTAACTGCGCTCGGACTGACTGGTGCATTATCCTAGATGCATGTATCCATATAAGGAAAAGGAGGGTCGCACTCAGAAATATTCTATCTATCTATCTATCTACTGAATGACATTTCTGTGTGACCCTCTTTTTTTTTTTTTTGATATTTCTTCAAATGAATTTGAAAAGCTTTGCATTCAAACTCAGATTGGATCACCTGTTGGCAAGGCGTTGCATACAGTGAACTGTTTGGCAGAGCTGACTGTGCAAACCACGTTAGAGAGAACAGAGGTATGACAGAATGAAGAAAAACAAGGTTTGATGAAAGAAAAGACAAACACACTCACACACACACACACACACACACACACACACACACACACACACACACACACACACACACAAGCTCCAGCTGTATTGCAATAAGGTGGGGCAAATGGCAGGGCAGTCTGGGATGCAGCTTAACACTGTGATTAGATTTGAAGGCCAATTCTATTGATTACAGTGATAGATGTTGAGGGGAAGGGGATGTCGAAGGTTAGAGTGTGTTTGTCTTTCTCTCAGTGGAAGGGATAATACCAGAATGCTCAGCGAAGACACAAACCATGATGGACAGACTAGAAAGGGGGTTGAGAGAGGATGAAATAGGCTTTCCTGAGAAGAGAGGGTTTAAAAACAAAATACAAAAGAGGAAAAGGATGAACAAAGATTTGAAGAGGCCAGAAGCCCATGTACAGAGAGCTCCAAGGACATATTTGTTTACTACGTTTATGGGGTTTCGAGATCCCCATTCCCCAAAAGTAAATAAAACGGTTCAATAGAGCAGAATAGTATCTCAGAGACTCCTCTAAAACTGTCCTTTGTGATGGGTACCTCCCTCTGGATAGAAAAGCCTAATTAATGTTAATTTCTATTGTTTTTTGTTACAACATGTCAATGGTATGGTCCAAAACAGTAATCCAATAATTTTGTATTGCAATGAGCCCCTTAAACCAAATACAAACAGCAGATGGTTAAAGAAAAGCAACTATACCACAACAACCACCTATACTAAGACTACCAATACTGGTTGAATAATATTAGCAGCTACACAGATTGTTACTAGATACACTAATATTCTTTTTAATTTCCTAATACAATTTTTTTTTAAATGAATAGTTTGACATTTTGCTAATTTCTTTAAGCAAATTTTTGCCTTTCGTCAATTGCACATATTTGACCACAGCACATTTGACGCTAGCTACCAATGTAGGCTACCAATCATTTCTGTGGGAGTGTGTTTGTGTGTTTTTGTTCAGCTCAGCCTCTGACTCAACCCAGAACTCTCTCTGTTATTTTCCTCCTTTTTGTTTCATTTTTTCTTTTCTGTATGTTCTCTGAATATTCATAAAGCCCATGGGTATGCACAAATGAAACATTTTTAGCTAAGCAGCTGCTACCTATAGCTTCACAATTAGGTCTACTGTACAGATTTGAGAGTGGTATTGATCCACTCATTTAACTCTCTGCAGGTAAGCAAAGGTGTATTTATGCTTCCTTTAAGATGCCAATTGTAGACAATTTTGTCAGATAGTTAAAATTACATGTGTCACAATGTGATGACAGGATTTACCTTTCCTCCATCAGCATTATATTCCTTCTCATTGACATCCAGCAGGCGAGCCAGACCAAAGTCAGTGATCTTGATGTGGTTGGGAGATTTTACCAGGACATTTCGGGCTGCCAGATCCCTGTGGACCAGCCTACGCTCCTCCAGATACATCATCCCCTGCGGCACACACAGACAAACACACAGCGATTATTTTCGATTGAGTTCATTCATATACAGTACACCTATCTGCAGGCATGAATGTGCACTGGTATGCAGAAACCGGAATAAAGACACACACACACACACACACACACACACACACACACAAGTCTGACTCCTGTTCAACATCACCATCTGTCTTCATCATCATCATCACTATGATCACTACCACCATCAAGACCCCATTAGAATTTCTATAATTATTTGTGTCATCATCATTACCACCACATTGTTATTTTTATGGTTATAATTCGCATCAATCAACAACTAGACTGTGGAAAAGCCCCTTTAATTGCCAAATGCTCTGCGATGCAATAACAGCAGCATCCATAAGCATCAACCCAGAGGCAGGTTTTCAATTAAAAAACCGGACCCATAGGAATGAGGAATGTTGATGTGAAACATTTCATTCAATAAATTTACTAAACAATTAAGAAACCACCTCTCTGCTCTATCTCCCTGTCCATACTTTAATTAATAGTGATTATTTGCCTTGAACAAAGGCAAAGTCATTTTTCTCTGACATTCTTAGGTGTTCAGATGAACAGATGAAAACTCCAAAATTAATTTTTAGAGGATCTCTGCCCCCTTTATAGATGCCCCTCAAAACCAAGCGTTAAACATGGACTGCAACTGAGACATTGAACACAGTTGCTGCATCTTCTGTTACACATCTACTGCCTATTGTGCATCACGGCACGAGTAGACCAGAAGAGAAGGAACGATAGAACCTCTGAAGGGAAAGAAAAATGGGGAGGTGGGGAGGGGGCTATTTTAAATTGGACGAGCAATAACAGGAGCCACTTTGTTTGAAGTGGCAAGAGCACAGAAAAACATGGCCTTATTTGAAACCATAACAAATTGGATATAGCTGGAGTGGGCTGGAATGAAAGTAGGAGTGGATGAAGGAGGAGGAGTGTGGATAGGTGGGGCTGAGAGGCAGCAGTCTAAGAGGTGAGATTACATTGCTAAGGCTATAATCACAGAGCCTCCTTTGGCTCTCTCCCAGGATAGAACATGTGGTTTCAGCACACACCTGCACATACCTACAGACATGCAACTCACAGGGAGACACACGTGTGTAATGTGTGGGCCCACGTTTGTTACAGGGGTGGTGGAAAGTAGTTGACAGAAGGACTGAGAAAGGATTATCAATGTTCAGCTATGAAACAAAAAAAAAGACGAGGAAAGTGCAGACTTTAGACATTACATGACCAAAATGATATAAAGTTATTGCCTCTCTCTCTTACACACACTGTAACGCTGTGAACTGTTTTGAGTCAAATGCATAAGTATTGGATATTACACCCACCAAAACAGGCCCCCCAGGAATGATATCCATCTCATCTATTCAGATAATGTGGCGAATCTTGTGGACTGGAATTGGCCTCCCCAATGGCAGGAGATTTAGTCAGGACATGTTCAAGATGCCCAATAAGTTCTAGCCTGATAATCTGACTGAATTGTCATTTCATTTCACTACATTATTCAAACTGACATCATGATTGAGATGCCTGCCTGACAGGATGGATGCATGGATGGACGGACAAAGATCCTGTTAGAATATGCCACAGGCCACCAGCTAAATTGTGGTGTCAGAGATGTGTTCTGATTTTACTGACAGTAAGATTAATTTGGCAGTTTCATCAGTTCAGGTCATGACATTGATCGATTAGAAGATTGGCAGCAGTGAAAGGGCTTCATCGAAAGTAAGGATTTCTTTGTGCTTGTTTTTTTTTGTTGTATTTTGTTTTATTGCATCTCTGTTTATAACTTTAACACGAACCAAACTGTTGCATACAGGGCAATAATGTTGGTAAATTATTTCAGACAGAGGCTGTACAAGACCCAATGAAGCTCTAAACTAAAAATACCTCATATGAATTATGGAAACTTGGCAAAGTGCACAGCACACTCACTGATAGCTTGTAGTAGGATGTTGAAGTAGCCAGTAATTGGCATTATTTTAACTGCTGTTGGTGTTTGCTTGTAGGAATATTATTGCCACAAGCTCAATAAGCTCTTGTGAGCCAAATGTTAGGTCAGCTGCTAACCATCGTTGCCAACTTAACAATACGTTACTGGATTTATGAACTCCTTGCAGCTTCATTTAAGTTAATATAAAAAAATGTTTTCCAATTTTCTAATGCAACAATGATTGCCAACAAATTTGGTGGTAAAAGCACAGTATGAGCTATACACTTTCTGCTGCTTACAAGTCTAATAGAAAGTCTATAATTTGCCATATTCATATATACCTCACCTGCTGACATGTAATGACTTTTTTAGCAGCCAGTACCAACACAATCTCCTAGCTGAAATTAGCTGATACCAGTAAATGTATTTGTATAGCGCCTTTTTAGTCTTTTCGACCACTCAAAGCACTTTTACACTACATCTGGTGGAACAGTGGCAATTCGGAGTTCAGTATCTTGCCCAAGGACACTTCGACATGCAGCCTGGAGGAGCCATGGATTGAACTGCCGACCTTCTGATTAACGGGCAACCTGCTCTACCTCCTGAGCCACAGTCGCCCAGTGTTGCTGGCACTAACAGTAACAATGATGTTGGGTGTACAGGCTGCAGTGTGACCTGGTATTCAAAGTCAAGGGAGAATACGTGGTAAGAAAAGTGATATTAATGTAGACAAAGAGGATGCTGATCAGCATCAAAATACCTGTTGAATTTTCATTCTTCTCTGTGTGAGTCACTTGTCCAGCTGATCCCGACGATATACCGAAGGGGTAGCTTTGAAAAGACCAGAGGTTGGGATTTGAGGTACCTGATGTCACTCATTGCCCACAGCTCTAAAATCATGAGGTCTGTGTGTGTGTGTGTGTGTGTGTTAGTTATGGTATACTCTGCCAGGTTTCTGACGGATTCTTATTTGTACATAAATCGCGCCTGGTAATCTCCTCAATTTTCGAGACAATTAAGCAGTGGAGGGAGAATGGATGGCTTGGCAACCCGTGAATTTTAATTTGCCAGCAGAATGAGATTGAGAGGGGGAGGTGATGGAAGTGTGCAGAGGGGGATGTGGCTGCAGACGTGCGTGAGGAACAAACTTTTTTTTCCCTCACTCGGTTGCTCACATTTACTGCCCTCCCATGTGGACATGATGAAAACAACTCACTGCCAGTGGTTTGTAATTGTGGCAAACCTGAATGCGACAGCCAGGCTGTGGAAGCTGTTTTGGAAGCTGTGTTTCAGGTAAGCCTGCCACCAGAGAAAATCTACGGCCTTCAGAAAGACTCTGTTATGATCACACCTCCAGATATAGGCTGCTTTCCAATCAGGAGGGATCAGGCCTATGCCCTAAACCCTGCACATGAAGATTTTACATGGGAAAGCCAGGGAAAAAATCTCAATGCTAGGAGCAGAAGCGTCAAGGCATTGAATCACGGGGAACTTCAGGAAAATACAATTCCAGTTTACCAGTCTGTTACACAAACCATAAGTACACAGCTTTCACTTTGTGACCGGCCTACATTTTTAAAGCCACATTAAAAAACATTATTATTCTTTGTGTGTTTTTGCATGCAAAGAAGAGACCAACGTTCACACCAACTGCATGAGCTGAATACTATCACATTGCACTAGCTAGTTTCATGTTATGTGTAACCTTCAACAACTGCCATTGTTGCTGTCCATCATTCTAATAAACTATTAAAGACACTACATGTAATAAGTTATATCACTGGTGCAGACTGATCTCTGCCAGACTTACTGTATGTTTGTTTAAAGTAAAGAATATGAGCAGAGTTATTTTTTAGTGTAAGTAGTGGAGAAGTCTCATTTATAGAAGAAGGGAAGGTGAACAGGTTTAGCAATGCTACAGGTCTGTGTGCAGGATGCTCAACTGCTCTCTCACCAGTGAAGACAATTACTGTTCTTCCAGAAAATATTCTAACCTCCCGTCATGGTTGTTTATGCTTCTTTCACACAGACACGCGAACGAAACCCGAGTGGACGGCATTGTCCTCAGATGTGTTTGGTGAAGACAGATTTCGGGGGGAGGAGTGGCAAAGGGCTGGAGATTAAATCAAGAGAAGAGCGAGGAGAGGCGGCGGCCATTTTTCACCGACTGGCACTTCCCACTGTTATTCTGGCAAGCAAAGACACACACAGTGGCGCGCAGAGGAAGCTGTCAACACACACAGGCAGCACACACACACACACACACACACACACACACGCGTACCTATCCAACAGTGCACCGTCGGAGTAAACTGCCAAGTGTGGACCTGTGTTTCCAGTCCTTTTGAAGTAAAATAAATATAATACAAAATTTACTTTTACTGTCTTTTAACATAATATTACTGCAAATTTGCTTTTTTTTGCTTTTTAAAGAAATTGCCAAGAGGGGACTTAGATCCTTAAACGATAGCTACCTATCCAAGAGGGGACCTCCATTGTTATGCAGTGGAACTGTCTGTGCTCATTCTCACCTAATGACTGTTTTTACCTTCAAAGACTTTCTTTGTTTCTTTCAAAAATGGATAATTTAACTTTAATGTGAGCAATGTGTAAACATTTCACCGTGATCCAAACTTTAATCACTTTAACTGAAAATAAATAAACTTTAAACTTTAATTCAGAAGTAACTTTGCTGCATGCATTGATATCAAGCACTACAGTATTACCAACAAAAATTACTTGATCTAGGTTTCGAATACCGTTTAAATAATAATAAAATATCTTATTACACTAGTGCACTTATTTAAATTTTCTCTTAGGGGAATTCATATTCTTCTGTGTGGGATGGTCATTTTTATGACCTGTGATGTATGCATTTTAAAGAGTTACTTTGTATTTGCTCTTAATAACTGAATCTTAGACTGGTTTTGAATCAAAAACAATAATACTTATGAGAAAAATTTAATCTCAACTAAGCAGTCTGTTGACACATGATTTGATAATATGCTTTTGAAACAAAACTTAAAGGCTCAGCAATAGTA